ACAGATCACAGTCAATGTAACTTGAATGCAAATTAAAAATATGAATGACTTAAAAATATATCAGATTCTCTATCTGCCATAATATCTGTATATCTGTATATTTTTTAATACTTTGTAATGTAAAAAAATGTATAAAAATGTATGTGATAACGTTAATATTAATCATAAAAAATTAAAACATTTTAAATGCAATTCGTAAAATTATAAAACTGCTAATAAAGCAACGTTTTGCTACATATAATTATTAAATGATATTATTATTATTAAAAATAAAACAATATACATTAAAAATACTAATTGTGCGAGTTATTACTCTAATAATTGTATATATACTACTAGTCTGGATAATGTATGTCCCTGTAATAATATAATACTTTCTAATGACTGGGCAAAGAAGATCATGACTCTGCATTCTTTAAAATAATCTTCTTAAGGATAAAGATAATTGCATCACACCTGCACATTAACTTCGATTGACGTTCAACGTTACGCTCGATATTTTTAACTGTCTTTCAACTTTTTAATTTCTGATTGTTATAACGGCAGAATACTATATAATCAACTATTAAGTTACTTTTTGAAACTTGAAGAAATATAATGTGTTTTTGATACTGACATTTGCACGACAGCTAATTTTAAGTGTATAATTATTATTATATTTTTTTAAAATAGTTGTGTCCTAGTTCCTACAAAAGCTTTTTAATATAATAATAATAGAGAGAGAGAGAGAAAAAAAATATAGAATAAAAAGAAAAAGACTAATAATATTACTAATTTTATTGTTCAATATGAATTCCTAACATTTGTCCTCATATGTCAAATTGTACATCTTTTATTTACATTTATTGTAATATTTCAGTAGTTTTCAGTCTGCACAGGAAATTATTGTGTCTGGACTTAAATTTATTGGAATATTCATTAGATAACATTAAAACAAAATTTCAAAAATCAAGAAAATAAAAATCAGTTTTACTGTATCTTGTTTACATCAAGAATTTATTGCAATTATGTGTAATAACTAATTTGATCTTTTAAAGTTTTGAGTAGACAGAACTATACGACATAATGATTAGTTAAATATGTAAAGCACGTTTAATATATTATTATATTCACGTTTATTATATACACATATATTCTGCTAACAAATCCTCAAAAAACGCGCTGCGAGTTCGAGTTTTGATTGCTGTTGCGTGAGAAACGAACATCTGCTGACAGCGGCTGCCATGCGTGATCTTTTCAGATAAACATCTTCAGTGACTAACAAAACATTGCATCATTATTTCGAGCCACGAAGAATGCTGTCAGCGGCTTTTAGATTATACTCGATAGATATTAAAGGTGTGAAGCGATGCAACGATAAAACTACAATTATTTCTATGCCTCTTCCGGTCGAAAATCTCATGCAAAAGTTTGAATTTTTTCTAGATCCTAAAGAAACGTTGGGTATACGATAAAAAATAAATAAAAGAAATGTACTTTGGGAATAACGCACTATTCTGCTAAGCTAATAAATAATTTGTAGAAAGATTTGTTTAGGAGTATATTAATTTAAATAATCGATAAAAGCTAATATTAAAGAGATATTTTCAATAAAGACAATTATAATAATTGAAAACTTGAAAAAAAAAATTTTTTATTTAAAAAGCAAGTTGTATAAAATTAAAAATATTAAAAATAATTTTTTTCAAATTAGTTGTCTATATTAGTATACGATTATAGATATGCACATTTTTTTAATTTTATTATCTTCAACTTAAATCGTCCAATATAATAGACTTAAAAAAAGTAGTTATAATCAACACAATTGAAGCTTTAGATCGGCATATTTGAAATGTTGTGTTTTTCTCGTTTTTCTTTTTATCTTCATGCTTTTAAATACATATTACTTTTTTTTAATACTCTCTCTTTATTGTAGTTTTTCTCTCATATATAATTTGTATTGTCAACGTCCACCATTTTGAACAATGCGGGCGTTGTTCCATTTTCGAGGGGTTGGTCTACTAAGTCCGGTATCCAACCCTTGGGCACCCTTCGCAGTGTGACATTTATTTAACTAGGTAACGGTGTTAGATTGTTAGGTCGAATTAGGGATCCCCCTCGATGTGAATTCAAGGATTTAACAACCAATAGGATTTATTATTACTACGGTAATGTGCCTGATTCTCAGCTGCAACGATTTCTCATGATGGCTACTAACGGACTTTATTACATCATCACGCAAGTGAAAAAAGTTACACATTATTCTATCTTTTGTGCACTTCTTTTTTATAAAGAATTCGACAATTGTAACGTCCGTATATCTTCCACAGAAATCAACAAATAAAATATTACATTAAAATATCCACACATACACACACGTACACACATACACACATTCACAAGTTTGTAAGATTATTTCCTAACAATTTTCTAATTAATTAATCAAGATATTACAGCTCTTGTAGGAGATCGCTTAAAATTTATTCAATTTACATCCATTTATCGGAAAGGGCTAAAATATATAAATAAAAAAAAGTTTGACATCGTGCACATATCTAAGACTGATGAGTTTAATAACATGAATTGAAGATAGAGAGCAAACCGAGACAAGAAATATCTTGTATCTAGGCCGCAAGTAATACACGTCGCGTCGGTACAAGATATCATTATCATTTAATTTTTGCTTTCGACAAAACATTTGTCGTAGTCGTTAACATCGCAGATCGGTGGCTTCTCATTGTTTGCTGTGGCGTGAAATTTAAATGTCCCTCTGATCAATAGTCGCCCGATATCTGATCATTATTTTTACCGAGATGCGGGCGTTGCGAGATTGGTACCACGTTTGCTCTGGAAAGAAGTCAGGTTTTTATTATTTTAATGAACATTTCTATGAGTGCGTGTCGGTTACGCTACAGAGGCGCGTGGGTTCCCCAAGAATGATCTTTACCTGATTATTCTTATTGCAATCGTTTGAGAACCGTAAAAAGGCCGTTCTTCATTAAGAAAAGTTTGATCTTAAAATAGTCGGATATCATGAAGTTAGTTGTAGAGAATACGTGATATTTTGATGCAATAAGGAGATAAATTTTTCTTGAAATACAATTTATTTAAGTAAAATAAGAAAATAATATTGTTCATAATACTGCAAAGATAATAATTGGAATAAAAAATAGTGAGATATTAATATATAAATTATATATTTTATATATATATATATTTTATATATATATATATATATATATATATATATATATATATAAAATATCAGTACGATTATAATTATAATTTTAACATCTTAATTAAATATAATTCATGTTTTCAAATTAATGGAATAAATTAATATTAATAATTTGCAAAATTATTGTTATTTATAATTTATAAATAAATTGAATTGTTATTTATAAAGATTAATAACAATTTAATATGATAATATTTCTCCTTTTTCTTTTGTAAGAATATAGATCTTTGTCCTATTAGGAACATAATATCAGATTTAATCTTTATTTCTTCTTTTTCGTACAATATTTACAGAAATTTACAAGATTAACATCATCGCATTAAAATTATAAAAGTAAGATATTTTATCGAGTGTTAAAAAACCGTATAGTTGCTTCCTCTATGCGTTAGGACTAAGAACCGTGATCCATTTTATTTTAACCAGCTGAGAGTAAAGTAGATATAAATATAATATTAACTATAGCTACAGTTTTTTCGCATGTTTAATTACTTTTAAAATTACTTTTAAATTATAACAAACTTTGTTCTTGCAAAAGATAATTGTAAATTTTATAATTTTATTAATTTAAACAGTATTTACACTACAATGAAACTTATGATAAAAAGATAAAAGATACTATTTTTAATGTAATCTGTGCTATAAAGTATAATTAAGATTTAAAGAATAAAATTGCGCACATCGCATTAAATATACATTAGAAAAATATTACATTAGAAATATTATACAGTAAAGTTATTACATTATTATACTAATACTAATATGATGATACACATTTTATTATACATTTTATTAAATATATATTTGTTCGTTTGTATCTATTTGAATATACCTTTAAAGCAATAAGGATCCTAAAATATCTTACACTTTAAAAAAAATTAATGCAACCCTCCAAACACAGGGCAGTAAAGTCCTTTTCCATTCATTGCGCTTTTAATATTTTGTCAATATTTTAAATCTAAATTAATTTTTGAAAAATTATAATCAAAAATTTGCAGATTATATATCTATATGTATAACTTTATTATCTATAGTCGATAAAGATGTAGATGTTTCAAAAGTTTTAAATAAAAATATAACACGAAAATGTTTCTCTTTATTAATATTACATACATTAAAGAGAATTATTACTAGAAATATTACAAGCTAAATATTATATTTAATATTAATTATAACACTATCATGGCAAAAATATATTCTATTAAAATATGATTTTTTATTTGCCAAAAGTTTAATCACGTGCACAATTCAATTAAGTTATTCTCTTCTTATAAGTATTGCTGTTATATATAATATTAAATGATACCATAAATTGTACTTACGTAATAAACTTAACAATTTAAACTATTCAGTTTTATTTTTATATTTACTTGCATTAATTTATACTTATTTTTAATCTATTGTATAAACTGTATTATTAACTTATTAATAAAAATGACCAATGATTAAAAGACCTGATAAATATTTTCTTATCAGTTTAATGATTGGTTATCTTTGTAAGGATACGTTTCAAAGCCATTCTATACTCTAATCGATCTTGAACAGTCGAGAGTTCCATAAAAGGTGTTTTCGTGCGTTATATCATACGATGCCTTTTATTGACGAGCTTCTCGATGATAAGAAAAAAGTTACTATCATTGACAGTACTTCTTACCAGACAGCTGATTCCGCAGCTGGCAAACGGGGGGGCGCAACCAGCGGCTCACACACACACATACATCATACACACACCACACACTATCCTCCCTTCTCTTACTTTGCTACCACCGCCTACGTTCAAGCAGAATAGCTGAATTCAACATTGACCGTCGACGAACGAGCTTCGCGCAGTGCAAAAGGCGCGCGTACGTATCGCGCACTAATATGGAAAAATGAGTCAGGCCCTATGTACCATAATTATCTCGCTCATCGCACGGATATGGAAAACGTAGCCGCGTAATGCGAACATTACGTTTACGGGGTGTTGGGGTGCAGCGTTAGCATGAGCATTTCTCAAGACAGCGCTGCTACGATCGTGTGCAGGGAGGTTTTCGACGAGACGTCTCATCCGACGAACGAAGGTACGTGCAGGAAATAGCTAGAGAGCCTCAGAGATTTTCTCCCATTCCTTCTCTTTTATCGCCGCATTGACCATGGTGGATTCAATTGATCGAATCCACCATGGTCGGTTATTGGAGCCACGCTCTCATATCTAGGAATAGGGCGTTCATTACGTACCAAACTGATCGATGTGATGATTCCACCGTTTCCTCCCCGCCCGTAACGCCCTGTGTCTGTTATGATATAGTAATTCTTGTCAATATGGTTCTTGTCAAGGGTGAGAGCTCTCTATTATCTGTCTGTTATCTATAATTCGAACGATTGGAAGATTCGTCGTATATCGCGCACACTTGACTAACGAATCAGATAGACGTAGCAGATTATTACCGACAAACTTGGCCATTGTACAAAGCGCACGAGAAAGTCAATTATCGCTTTGATTCAAACTAGACGATAAAGCCTGGATAATCCTCTCTACTACAATAGAATCATCACATTTAGGCCACGATGATTCCATTTTGATATCCTACAAGACACATACGCTTCATCTCTTTCCGTTTGCCTCATCGTCTAGCAGCTAGCTGTTTCATCACATTTTGACATCTTAACTTTTTTGCGTAAAAATATTACTATATTTCACTATATTGCTAGATATGTTTTGTCTTTCTGAATATATAAAAACAAATGATGAAAACTGACAAACTTTTCATGTAAAATTGCTTACTAATTGTAAACTACTTTATTATTGTACCTAATTTTGTTGACACTTTACTGTAACTCCTCTCAGTCCTCTCGTTTAATTAGAAATATTTTAAATTCCAAATTGTGTTTCTTCTATTTCCAAATAATTTGTACATTCGTGTAACAATTACCGATCAACGCTTTTTTAGGTTTACGGTATAAGAAGCAATAAAAAAAACTCATAGCCGTGTAAAACGTAATGAAGTAATCAAGCGACGTTCCTAAAGAAATGCACGATTCAAAATCAGTCTAAAAGTAAAGAAAAGTGTAAAAGAGACCTAGTAGCTAGCAGCAAGTTTCCTTGTTTATTTACATCACGCCTGGCGGGAATACTGAGCCCGTTTCCCAGCGCGCTCCGGAAAATCAATAATTCGCAGTGCGGCGAAAGTTTTGTCGTAGTATTCGACCGTCTTTGTGCCATTTCAGTCGAGTAAGCCCGTCTTATTTATTGGCCAAAATTTTTCAAACCGTTGGCAGAATTTGGAACAAGGATTTTTCAAGCCAGAACTTCCGTTCGTGAGGATCAACCCTATTACGGTAGCTGGAATTGTGGTTGATCGAACCGGCAAAATGAAGACCAACACTTTGACCAGCGGTACGAAGGCAGATGGTAGCTCGACTTGCCCCCATACGGCAGCCACCACCACCTGTCCAGTTATCGGGACTGATGGAATTTTTTATTGAAGCCTTTTATGCTCGTGATACTTCCTCGTGACTCCTTACGGCAGAAGGAAATTTTACATTGATAACCTCACAGCGTTTAACATTTGACCTAAAGCTCCCGGTGCGGCAGCGGTCATTTTTGTTCCCCGGCGGAATTTCTGAACGCTTTTAAATCCTCTGAAAAGATAGTTCGAGTAGAAGAGTGCTTCAGGTGCTATGTTGACTGATGGGTGCCGGTCTACATAGTAAAAAGGGTTGAATATATATGTCATTTGCACGTAAATGAAATTTGTAAAAAGTTTTATATAAATTTACTTCAACAGATTTTTTTTGCTTTTAAAATATTTTTTAAAATATTACAAAATATTTTATTCTGCTGGATATTAGAACATATTGATATTGTGACATACATATATATGAAAAGACATTTGTTATACTTACATTTTAGTAAAATTAAGAAACAAAGCATAGGGTATATATATATAATAGATTTGATATGAAAAACATTGAAAAAGTAATATTTCCTATATTTTTCTTGTGACATTGAAGAATTCGTCTGTCGCAGAATATAATCTTACTTATATGATATCTTTTCACATGTATCACGCGCATACGCGCAACTATTTTTAATCATTATGAATTTCGGTAATTAAGAGAGACACAAATCGAAAAATCAATAAAATTTATGTTGTTTTATAAGATTTACAATATATAAGGTTCAAATCATTTTTGAAACTACAATATATCCTATTTTTAATTAGCGAGTTATAGGTAATTGACGGATTAAATGATATGATTAATCGATCATTAAATTTAGTTATCAATATTTTTCTTATTTTGTAAATGTTAAACAATAATACACTATTATATTGAAAAATGTCTGCTTTAATAATGAATAATGTTAAATGGCCATAAGCTCATCACGCTATCGCAACAGTTTCCATGGAAGGAGGTAACTTTGCGCTTTAATACTTTTAACCCGGTTAACTGTGTGATCAATGAATTGTACAATTTACCTGAGCTCGATATAATAAGATACAGGGATCCACTTTCTAGTGATTAAAGTTTACAAGGGTATTATTAATAAATCATGCTATACTGGATAAAAATACTATATGCCGTAAATAATTAAATTAACATTACCTCGAATTTATCGAAGATTTTCTATCCTTTTATCGATCAATAAACTGATTGTGATTATATTATACACATTGAAACTACCTTACTGTTGTACATTGTTAATTAGTTTCAACTTTTTCACGTTTCTCTTTTGTCTCGAATAATATTAAAATATTGACAACAGATATCGACTCATTATTAATAATACACACGATCAACATTATATTTAGTGATGTACTAATAATTTAATAGACAACAACATAATTCTAGAGTTACTGGATTATGCAAAACGTTTGGGAATTGATCCCGATGCGGAACCACACCTTCTGGACTTGGCCCGGGAAGGTCTTATGGCAGCCCTGCCTAAGGGATGGTCTCCGTGCTTCCATGAAGCTAGTGATGCCTGGTATTATTACCAGGCATCTACCGGCACCACCACCTGGGAACATCCCCTGGACGCAGTTTACAGAGAACTCGTGGAACAAGCTAGAGCTGGCAATAAGAGGCAAATGAGCCTTGGTATGCATCATAATATTTTATGTTCATAATATTTTTTGTAAATCTCTTATTTGAACAGAATTATGATAAATCATATCTTTTTATATTTTCATTTCATTATCTTACACACAGCTTTGGGCTTACGGTTCTTCGTAATATCTCAATAAACTGTTATTAGTAAACATGACGTTGGAAATAAAGAAAAACTTGAGTTACTTATAAAATAATTAAAGATCAATTTTTATATAAAATTACAATGTATTAAATCTTATATCAAAAATTTTAGAGAAAAAAATATTAAATTTAATACTGAACTGTTATTCGTAAAAATTATATCTTATATACGCTTTACTTAGAGAAACCATTTCTCTGCCTTGATATCATTTCAATTAACGTAATGCAATGATGTTTTCCACAAGCTTTCGTCATGACTATTTCAATTCTCGGGAGATTAAGTAATTAAATCTACAATTTGACGTTATAATCATGCGTGTGCTATACGCTCGTCATTTAATACCCAACACTGTTGACGCGCATCGTCCGAATGCTTCACAATAATCAGTAAAATCGTGCAACTTGGCAGAGCAATGCTTTGGCTTTGCGTCAAAATTACGACAAGTACAACCATATTTTTAGATTCTTCTACATATCAATTATGAATATCGCGCTGCAGCCGTTAGCGAGAATTTAATGTACCGCTTCTCAACATGTATGAAATTTTGTGATATTACTGGAATAACTTTCTGATTCAATAAATATATATAGTATTTCGTGTTTTTATAAAAAAGTATATGTATAGGTTTTTTCTTTTTTCTTTCAAAAGCACTTAAATTATACAGCTTATTAATATAGATAAGATTATTAGGTACATAGTTTTCGTATAAACTGTAATTACATCAAAATCAACATATTTTTTTGATATTAGAAAAATGTGGAATAAACTTTAACGATTAAAATATCATGTAAAAAAGTAAAATAAAATTAAAATGCTATTTATGTTTATTATGTTTATAATAGCCGTTTAGTACCTAATAATTGCATTGTAAATTTAATACTTCTGTTCTTAATGATTATAATAGTTATGTTATCTACATCTATTTCCCAGATAGATTGAATCAACTCACTCGAATCAATGAACGGATACTATGCAGTTCAGAAGTGTTACATAAATGACCAACAACTTCTAACAAGACCTTGAATATTACTGACTTCGTATACGGTCGTTCCTCACTGTTGCAATAATCATGTTTATTATGTAATCAAACGCCGTGATCGTCAAGATACAATTTTTCTTCAATTCCTGCTTACAAAACTTTGATTGAAAATTAATACATTTTACAGCGGAAAACGATGGCAATTTTCTCGACACTTGTAATCTTAATCTTTGACTTTCTTTATTTACTCTATAATTATACTATTATAAATTATAACAGAAACTAAAACAAATAATTTTTTATAATATTCCTTATATGTAGGTGTAGACAATTTTATTATTTCGTACGTTTCAAAAATTTTATTCTTTAATAAATAACGGAAATTTTATGTTTTTATGTATAAAATCTTGCATGTACTTTTCACTTATCTCTGTTTACATTTATGTTTGTGCCAAAACATCAATATCTACTTTAATATATTTACTAGCATTATATTAGTAGTCTATTTTGTAATAAAAGAGCCTATTAAATATATTACAAAAAGTAATAATAACGTAACAGAAATGGCAAAATTATTTTTTAATGTCGCAGAAGAAGATTCCAAGACTACAGCAAAAGATCTTGAGTCTCATGAGGACGCAACTTTGCCAAAAGAAACTATTATTCCAAAAGAAACTGTTAAAGAAACTGTCCATGCGAGACCTGGCATGGCAGGCACTAAAATTCCTATGAAACTGGCACCTTTACGGAAAGTCGAAAAAATCGACAGTTCACGCAGAAAGGATCGTCCCTCTTCATTTGATAGGCTTCAATCAAGAAGGGAAAGTGATTCAAAATCTGACAACGTAATCTCCTTGTCAAGCGATCGGGCCGCGAGGGATTATACAAACTTGAAATTTCACGACCCAAAGTTTTATGAGTGTCCTAAATTGCTCGAAACAAGGGATGCGACTGCAATAACCACGACAACACCGATGAAGAAAGAGCTTGATCTTAAAGAAGTACTAAAGAGATCTGAGTCGCTGAGTCCATGGCATGAGAAAGATTGGGAACAACTTTCCAGCAAGTTCAGTTCAGAAGAGAACATAATCGACATTGACAAACTCAGCGCCAGTGCGTTGTCCAGACCGGAGAAACTTGAGAAATTCGACAAAGAGAAACATCCAAGTCAGTTGGGTCAACAAAAGGAGTTAACTCTTAGTGGTGGTGGTTCAATGTTTCTAAAAAGTAACAGAAGTAGAGATACCACACCTAGTCAAGATGGCGGCAAGTTAGAGGACTTCCGGGCATTGACAATCTCTGACGAAACCAATAACACTATTGGTGACAGACCCAAATCCATTCTGAGGGAGAAACAACTTGAAGATGGTAATATATATCTAAATAATTTGTTAGAATATTTTCTCGTCTTTATATTTATTCTATAAGGTAAATACTATTATACTTACGTTGTTTATTTGCAAATGTAGAAACATCTTGATACTGTTTAAAAAAAAGATATGTATTGTATATATCACCATAAGTAAAAGCAAGAAGATAATAATTTAAGCGTGTAAAATAAACACCTCAAGTGTTGTTTAAATCCTTGAATTAGTATTAATATAATTTTGCTATTGTAATCTGACTTTTATTCTATTGTTCATAGACGATCGACCATTGGATGAGGAACGCAAAAGCGTGCGCTTTGACTTAGAAAAGGAGTTCAACATCAATTTCACGTATTCAGAATCTGAGGACGATTGGGACTCCGAATCTGAAGATAAGAATCTACGGATATCGGCTGTAATCAGCGATAAAATTACTGGTACCATCCCATCTCCGTGGAAATCAACTTCGCAAAATTTTGGGGACAACAATGACGACAAGGACGGCTATTCTAACGAGAAGGAGCAGGATAAAATGGATTTATCTGTAGATAAAATTGAATCGTTATTAAAAAACGCAAAAATAGTTGGCAAGAGATTTCTCGTGCAGAACGTTTCGGAAAACGAACATCGTAATCAAATGACGAATAATACTCTAGAAAGAGATAACAGCTTTGATTTTCTACCTAATAAATTAGGTGAAAAAGTGAAAAACATTGATATAGTGTCAAAAAGCGAAACAGATTGCAGCACTGCAAAAAGCAGCGATTCCGATGAGATACGCAAAACAAAATTAATTATTGAAAGAGCAAGACACGCGACAAATCGCTTGTCAAATCGACAACTCGAAGATGATGAGTCACCTGATATGTCGAGATTCAATCAGAATTACGCGCAGAAGGAGCGATTTGTTCGACCAAAGTTAGAATACTCTTCAAGTATTGACGATATGAAGATGAAAATGAATCGAGAACACGAGGAAGAGATTGAAGCTTTCAGGATCGAACTCGATATTAAGTTACAGGAAAAGAAAAAGGAACTTGAGGAAAATTTTGCTCAACAGAAGATTTTAATAGAGCAGTTTTTGAATCAAAGATTAGAAGAAATTAAACAGGGAATGGCACAAAAGGTATTTCTTTTTCATTGTAACATTAAAAAAATATTTATCTTGTTAATTTAAGATAAAATTTTATTCATCAAGAATCTATTATAATTTTTCATAGGAAGAGCAGGAAATACAATTATTAATCACTGAAATGGATCAAGCTAGAATGGAAAATTTGAACAAGGTCCGAACGGAACTAGAAGTCTGTTATGAAAAAGAGAGACAAGAAATATTGGCCAATCTAAAGACGGAACTCGACGAGAGAAAGAGGGAACTTTTGGAGTTGAGGAGTCAGGAGATGGGCAAGCTAGAGAATGAGCACGAACGTGACCTTGGTGAAGAAAAGCTCGCAAAGCTGAACGAATATGAGCTGAGAAAGCAACATACCGAAAGAATCGAAACCTTAAAAAAAGAGCTAGAAAAGGAATTCGAAGATTTAAGAAACGAATTGAGAATACAACAACGAGAAAAAATCACTAAATTTACTGAGGATCACGAGCAGTGCTTGGCCGAAATTCTTCGCGATTTTAGAATGGACGTAAGTATATAATATGTACTGTATATATCAAATGTGTAAGAGATGATTTGTTAATGGTCAATGCGTCAATTTTCAAAAATAAAAAATTTATTATTGTAACAAAAAGATTTTAATACTACAAATAATCTTCCTTTAAATCTAATAATTATATACGTACTAGTATACGTATAATTATCTTTATTTTTTTCTTATTTTATATATATATATATATATATATAATACGTATATAATATATACATATTTATACATTATACAAAAATTTGTACATTTATACATTCTTTAACAGATTTTGGATCACTTGTGATCGAGAAAATAAATAAAAATAATTTATTCGCTGAATTTTAGGAAGCTCTCGCTCGTAAGATGTACAAAGAGCGGCTGGAGGAAATCCGCGCAGATTTTGCACGGGACGCCGAGAAGGAGGCAAGAAAACAGACCGAGCGGGCTCTTCAACAAGAAAGTATCGACTTTGAAAAGATGCGCTGCGAGAAACGGTTGCTGCAGGATAAGTATACGGCGCTCAAGGAAAAGTATATGAAGTTGAAGAACGATGTTCGCCTCGCAGTCGAAAGAAGAAGTAGAAGAAAGGAGGGATATACCACGGCCTCGGAAACAGAAAGATCGACATCCACTAGAACGAGGACAGACAAGACCGATTCGTCGGAACAAAAGTGAGTTTTCTCAATACAAGTGGAGTCGATCTCATGATCTTGAGTATATTGAACGTTCAACGTTCACACGTTGAAATAAGCTAATTATATGTATATGTGGAAAAGAAGTTTAGCACTAATAATATTGTTTAACGAGTTTAGAGAGTTTCTTCTCACTCTTCAGTCTCAGTGGTCGACTCTTTCTCTTTTATAATAATGACTGAACGACTTGATAGATAAAGAGATGAAATTGAAATTAATAATATCTATCTTATAAATTATATCTAATTAAATTAAATAGTGACTGCACGTTTTAAATGATGATGGTGGAATCAAATAGTAATTACTTTTTTTTTACTTCAGTTTGCTGATTTATTTCAGCAAGTATACATTTAATGTATAATATTATTTATTGTTAACAGTAACAGCGTGCAATAATCAAAATCTGCAATTTTTAATATAAGCACGCTCGGCGTATAGCACAAGCATGCCATTTCATGTTACATCTCATTAATATTTTCTGCCCTTATTATTATACTTGATCACTTAATTACTTGATGTTTTTTTTAGTAATTAGCGAGAGTTTTAAATGTTAACGCTACATTTATTTAAATTGCATCGTTTTCTCTAAACTCTAAAGCTATTAGCGATAGCAACAAAACTCTTTCTTATGATTTTCGTTTAGACACTTTATGAAATAATAATCTCGTCCGAATCATTCAAAAAACATATAGAAATAATGCAATCTTGATCGTTTTGTAAATAGAACCGTATATTCTTTCTTACATGTATTATAAATCAATTCGGTGAGGAGATAATTGACTTGTGTAATAATTAATAAATACGTATATTCTCGCTAGTTTCTATGTCAAAACACCAATGTTGCTGCACGTTCATTTTCGATATCACATTAGTACCTTCACATTAGTACCTTCGCAGTCTATATCGTCAGTCTTTATTCGTCGAGGCAATGCGCGGCGCGCAATATAATATGTCCTTGTTAAGAACACGATCAGATTGTGAAGGTACTCCGTCATGTTCATACGATTCGCCCTAATGTCTGGCTATAGGCCTTAAATCGTGCTCGCAGTACTCCGCTGAAGAACGCGCGCTCGAGTCCAGTAACAAACGCGAAATCGCAGGACAGCCAAAGCGCGAGTGAACAAGTCGAAGAGCAAAACGATCCGGAAAATTCAAGGAGTCAGAAAGCGGCCGCGGGGTTTCAGAAACACGCATCCGCCGCTGCTGGCTTGAAAAGTGCAGCAAAATTTGAATCCGACGATACTACTACCGCCAGCGAGACGAACACTAACATGATAACGAAGAAAAAGAAGAGCTTCAGTAAGAAAGCTACTTCGAGCGCGGGTCGCTCGAGCGGTAGTAATAACAACAATGTGGAAAATCCGGTGGAGAACATTAGAAAACAGCTGAAGAAGCTGGAAGATCTCGGTGACCAACTACCGAGCAACGAAACGGCCTATACAGTGCGATATCCTTTCCAAGATAAAGGTGATTGTTTCAAACTTATCTCGCGCGTTAAGTATATATCCGTACATATTGTCCGAGGGATACCTTACTTCTTTTTCAAGCGAATATAAATTTTTCTTGTAAAATCCCTAAACATCTCATTTAGATTTAAATCAAATCAGGTAAAAATCAAGTCAGTTTAAAAAACAATATATTTGTATCACGCATTTTTAATGAGTGTGATATGCAACTCTTTCCAGAAATAAAAATTCACTGTTTTTCATGGGCGAAGCGTGCAAATTCTTCTCTATATTTTTAAATATATTTATTATATAAATATAAAAACTTGAACAATAAGAATATATTAATGTACAATTATAAAAAGAGTTAATTTCAGATATAAAATAAATATTTTAAATATTTTAGAATATCTCGTAGATAGTTATTTAAAGAATGTAGATTTTATGTGATCTGAACGTTATATGTTTTAAAATATGTATGTAATAAATAATAACAATATCTTGAATTTCAGAAAATATAATTAATACCTTTTTATATGTATTTATATTTGTATTTGAACAATTGTAAATAAGCGTACTTTTGTGCATATTATACATATGTATACTTTTTGAGATTAATTTTATTATACATAATATCACTTGTTGATCACATTATACTTTCTATTTCTATCTCTATTACGATCTCTATTACATCACCAAATAATTCACAAGATAATATATATTACAATTATCTCCAATTAATTACATATGTTTTCTTTTCTATTAAATATTTTATTTTCTAGCACAGTACATATATAATAAAATTGTTATTATTAGTTACATATCTTGATTCTGCAAATGTGTAAATAACACGACAAACAAACTTTAACTTTTTTAAGCGAAACTGTTGTATACCGTATCTATTACTTGTATCTATTATTTTTATCGATACAGCGTAATCACAGTTGTGTTTTATTATTTCCTTTTTTCGTAGGATTATATACACTTTACTTTGGTTAACGGCTTATATCCTTCTGACTCGTGAGTGCACCATCAGTTTTTCTTTTGCTTTTGCACGTTGTTTTCATAAATTCATCATCTTCATCACCTTCTTCATCTTAATATCGAGCTTTAAACATTTGGGGCTTAAAACTTAAACTTAGCTATGATCTTTGATCTTCAAATTGAAAGCAACACACGGTACTTGCCTTCACAGCGCCAGCGAATGCCTCTTCGGAGCTAGAATTCTTCCGACACCGGATGCATGTGGAGAAGGATTCGGTAAGAAGGGCTTGCGAGGCGCTGAGACAACAAAAAAGTGCCTTTCAGGGTAGGCAAAGAGCTTGGAAACAACGGAGCGGGAGAGCCACTCTGGAACAACTGGTGCAGGTATCGCATAATTTGTATAATTGTCGATTATAAGACAAAAGTGATAGTTTGTTACAAAGAAATATAGCTTTAAAGCACAAAGTATACATCTTAACAAGTCCTTAGTCTCTTAATGTGCGTTTCTAACTAACAAGTTGCGCTGTTCAAATATATAATATCTATATGCAAGATGTAACTCATGATATACGATTATTTTAAATATCTCTATTGTTTTTAATATAAGAAAATATAACCCAAAGGAGATAACTGTGGTGTTTGTGTGTGTGTGTGTGTGTGTGTGTGTGTGTGTGTGTGTGTGTGTGTGTGTGTGTGTGTGTGTGTGTGTGTGTGTGTGTGTGTGTGTATGAATGATTTTATATATTATATATGAATGATTATCTATATCGCAATATAGTTTTTATAGAAAACTTTTAATATCATTTTTATTAGGAATAAACGAGTGTGAATATTTGTCTTTATTTAGGAGGAACGCGAACTCTCTGATATGGAGGTGAGTTTACATCGCACCAAAAGTCTTTTAGGTGAAAAAATCATTCATCTAAGACACTTGGAACAATCTCTGGAGCGAGTGGCAAACGACAAGCGAAATGAAAACGATGCTAAAAATGACGAACTAAGCGACATGTCGAGTGCCAGCAGCGGTTTCAGCTCAACTGATTTAGGAACTGATACTTTTATAGGTGAGTTGCAAATATTTTTAATTATCATTAAACTATTATTACATATATATTATAAATTTTAAAAACAGATAAAACCTTTGTATTAATAATAATAATAATGAGTAAAAATTACTTTACTTTTTAATTTGTAATACTTCCTATTATTTGATATTCAAATAAAACGCTTATCATTTTTTCTGTACTGTTAAATTTTATTAGTTCAATTATTTGTTAAAAATAAAAAAGACAAATACGTGCTGTATGTGTAGTTATATTTGATAAATTTATTTCATAAATTATCATTGTCAATTTTATAGAGAGAAACAATGAAAAAATTACACATATATATTTTACTAACAATAAGATAGAGAAGAGATAAAATATACAATTATATGAAATGCAATGCATAACTGTTATATAATGAACAACGTAAATTTGCATTACATTGTATAGTTTGTTGTTGGAAATCTAGATAAGCCAGACCATTATCAAGAATCTACTGAAATTATTGCGAGTTTAGAAAACTTGAACTCAGAAATACGAGAGATTTGGGATGTCTTGAACAAACGTCAAGACAGTAATATATCTTCAACACCGACTCTTATGTACTCTTATTTGCGTTGGTTACGGTTTCATCATCTCACCACGCAGCCTAACAGCATGCAAGGTAAAGAAACAGAATATAATTTATACAAAAGTTTAAGGTTATATGATACTTATACAAGTCTGCGTAATTTTTGCAGTCTGGAAAAGAACCGTATAGTTTCTTATAGTTTTTTGTGCGCTGAATCCGAATTCGCAACAGTGTCCTCTCACGTTAGTTTTTTTAGAAAAATGGAGTTAAAGCTCTCCCAAGAACACGTTCTTTTTAAATTTAAATCATTTTTGAAGATTTGTAGCTGACGAACCCGATGTGCAAAAGCCTTTTAAAATGTCTTAAGTTAAAGCTTGAAACATTGTACTTTAATATAAGAATGTCAAGTTTTTTACCTCATAGGCACCACCAAGACTACGTTCGGGGAGCACGCTATTAGCACTATTGCATCATTCTATCTTTATCGCTCATCAGGTATAAAACAAGGATAGAATAAGCAAATAGCGCTAATAGCGCGCTCCCCCCGAACGCAGCCCAAGACGAATCTTAGGCGCGCTTTGTTTTTAAAGGTTGGTGTACGCTCTGCTATTCTGATATCCTCTAAAAAACCATTACAAATAATATAAATTTTTAATAGAATTTAATACATGGGAATAAGAGATTATACTTTGTAAAAAATTATTCATTTTATTTGTGTAAACAATAATTGTTTCTATTGGAAAATATTTAAAAAATGTTATTCGCTCATAAATCCATTTGCGCAGTTGTCTCGGCAGTTGTATACGCAAAAAATGAATAAACCTCAGGAAAATTCTCGTCATAAATGCCAAAATGAAAACACGGCTCACCCGAAAGTCGGGTGATGGGAATACGCACACCAAAAGAAGGCACGTCTACGTATGTACGCGTGCGCTTGGAACGTATCCCTACAAAGCGCGTCTGAGGTTTAATGGTACCTGCAGTAAAAGATTTGACATTCTTATATTAAAGTATAATGTTCAAGTTTTAATTTAAGACATTTTAAAAGTCTTTCGCACATCAGGTTCATCAGCTATGAATCTTCAAAAATGGTCAAAACGCGTTTTGAACACTTTTGCTTGCGGATTCGGATTCAGCACGTAAAAACCTATATAAGAAATCAGTATTCTTTTTCAGACCGCAGAAAAAACGTCAAAATTTGCAAGCCTGTGTTATAAACCAATGTGAAATATTTTCAAAATTAATTTATATCATATTGTGTATTAATATACATATATTTTAAATTAGTACCATAAAATAATAATGTGTTCTATTTTTTTCACGTGATTGAATTTAAATAATTTTTTATAAAGTGCAAAATATTTTTTTAGTATAAGAATTTTTTCTATCTATAAGAAACTGCGAATATAAGCAACTTCTCTATTTTCTTTAGGTGCCTTTGGTACGCCCAATATACAATCTAACATCCTATCTCAATTAACCGCTGCACAACCTCCTATTACCACAACTCAAAACATTATCGCTCAGTATGGCCCTAATAGCGGCTTCAGCACCAGCGTTGGTACAGTCGAGAGGAACCCTTCGAATTTGATGGAAAGGACCAGAAATCTCAGGGATTGGCTACGCCAAGCTCGCGTTGAAAATACTGATTTGATTAGTCCTGGTCAGGCGACTCTTTAAAGGTCTACGTCTAAAAAATCTCTTATCTCAATTTTTTTTCCAAGTTAATCCGTATTCTCAAATAATTTTGAATTGATGATTAATTAAGGGTATAGCATTGTCATTACTTAATTATTTACGTATTTTAATATCTTTATAGAATAATATATTTATTAATTGTGCAATTTATTTATTTAGTTAATTTATTTTACATGAATTACGATTAAGAATTCGTTGAAAATGATTTTATATACGCTCTCTCTCTTAATAATTGAAAATAATTCTATTTGAAACATAAATGCATCGAATTTATATAAAACTCAAATCTGCGCTCGCTTATTGCTCCGAATCTTGTTTCTCTCTCTTCGCTAAATTATCAAAACTGAACTCAAGAATATAAGAATATATGTATACTATTGCAATTGATAATTCACATATATATAGACGAGAAGGAAATTGAACGTGATAATTAATATGTAACACTCACAATAGCCATTTACAGTAGCAATTATAATAATTTAAGTTTAAATCATGGAGATTTAATTGATCGCGCTTTGATAAAATTGAAACACTTTTATTAATAACTTTGATTAAGAATTTTCCAAACTTTAATGGACAGTATAGCAGTTTTAGCATAATTGTTTTATGTAATTATATTTTGTCATATACCTACAGAGATCGAGAGACCATATCTAATACAAGTAAAAAAATATATAGAAATATCCAATACACCGCGATTTCAATAAAATGCTACGCCTAGCAAGACTTTTGTTTTCTTGACAAATTCTTTCGAAAGCCAAATATTGCAAAACGTATATTACTATATGGTAAAATTAAAAACTATTAAAGAAACTTAGTTTTCACTTTTGTCTTCCAGTTTTTTCAATTGTTTTATATACACTTAATCACCTGTACATTAGTATATCCATGGATAATAATAAACACTTTGACACTTTTGATTTTTATATTACATTGTAAGTAAAAGATTTATAAATTAATGATATAGGGTTGGTGCACATATGCATATTTATATGAATGAGGTTTTTGATGGATAGTCTCTTTTGTAAATAAATATTTCCAGGTTTTGATGTTGTATATTGGTGCGATACGACGCATATTATAATAAACGACCCGTGGTTTTTTTTCTGTTGATTTTCTCTATATTTTCGGGATCGATTTCTTAATTAGTATGTAACATGTTGTAATATATAACGAATATAACTCTTATATATAATAAATAGTATATTATACATATATTAGTGTAAAACTCTTAACTGCGTTTAAAGAAAATTTGTGGTATATCGTAGTGACGCGCGATATTCCAACTACTAATTGTGATTTTATGGAACTTAAATCAAAAATGTAAATACTCAATCGTAATACTTAGTAGAATACTTTGCAAATTTCTATAATTTGTATCTTAATTCTACCTAAATCAAATTTTTAATATTCATGTCGTATACTTTGCAAAAAAGAAATACTTACAAAAGACATTACTATTATTTTCAGAACAATTTTAGCAAGATCGCGCATAATCTTAGCAAAATATCTCTATATACTTAATCAGTCATTTTTCAAATGCCAAAACTTTCTCTTAATTGGATAATGATAAACGTCGTGTATAGGTCGCGTAAATTACTTACTAAATAAGTTGAATATATGCCAAATGTTTGTTGATCGATCGAATTTCCAATGACGATCATAATTGACTATAATCAACTTTTAGAGAAAGGCGATAACATATAAACATATAATATTTATAAATTGTGTCACAATATCGTGATCTCATTAAATATATGATATAAATTAGTTGACGTTTGCGCACTTTGAAATATAGATATATAATGTATAGCTGATTAAATAATTATACTTTACATAATTCTTATAATGTATTAAAACTTGAAAACTATGAATCTATATGTAGGCAAAATATTATTTTATTTAAATTATATAATTACTCGTAAGTATATACACACAGCTCTTATACAAATAGTATAGTATTTTAAGTCATAAGAAACATTTTTTTTTTTATTGAAATAAATTATGATGAATATATGTAAAAGATATGCGTATTTCAGATGTAAGATATCATATAAAATAATATAACAAATTTTGGTAATTTACTTTTGTGCCACTCATTAATGAAGACAGTCATCAATGATAACTTGATGTGAATTTTTAACATTAAATATACGAAAAATGAGCAATATGAATAGACAATCTATATAAAATATACAATTATATTTACATGTATATAATATTTTGTTCAATTTTCATATTTCTGTTATTATTGTTATATAAACTTAAGATTATTGAAATTGATATTATGTAATCGACATCATGTGTGTGTCAGTAATCTACTAATACAGAATAATTTATATATGTAACTATAACGACCGTAGACAGATCAAAAAATTAATCTATATTAATGAAAGAGAAAGGAAAAAAACAGATTATATATATTATTGTTCGTATAAGTTAAAAAATTAATTATAATTTTAAGTACGGATATAATAAAATTCTAGATTCCAAAGTGTAGAGACTGTTTGTATTAGTACCATCCTTATTATATCGCAAATACGTTTTCATAAAATATATATATTTAAATAAAGTATTATTATTAATTAGCGAATTAGTGCAAATTGTGATAATTATGTGATTTATCTTTACAAGTAACGTTATTTCTACTTTCTATTGTGCAATCATTGTCGCGTATTTTGTGCTTATATACGATGTACCAATATAACAGTGTAAATCTTCTCCGCAACATTATAATAGGAATCAATGCAAAATCAATTTGCACACGTATATATATATATATATATATACGTATATTAATAATATTTTCTGCGTTGGATATTTTTTTTATGCAAAGAGTAAAAATATCGTTAATCTTCGAAACATTATTTTAGTCTGTAATATAAAAGAGAAAAAGAAACTCAATTATATCTGCAAAACATTGGTGGAAATAATTATTATCTGACTTTAACAGAAATATATCTCTGACTTTTCTAATACGAATATTTCATCGTTTCCTATAACTTTCTTGAAATGGTAATAACTATTACGACAAAAATAAACGGCAATCAGTATGCTTCTCTTCACATTCATCGCCGTTTCTTTCAAATTCCTCTTTAGACGGTAACCACGCAATCATTCGATGCATATAATTCTGCAATTTATTATTGAGAGAGGTTTGCGCTGCTTTTATGATCGGAGATGATTTGCATAATAATAATCGAATGCAAGCAGAATCAGAACCAGTCATTCTCGCTATTAACTGATTCGGTAGATTCGGATTCCTTGCTTGATTAACTAAATTTCGAATCTATTAAACATAATTAAAAAATTTTACACTTTATTAATATATTTGAATTACAAATGTATCTCGGTTATGTACGTATATGTGTACATATAATTAAGGGCCGGTTGTTCCAACCTATTGGTAAGCTACCTGATAGTTAAATCACATGTCTATCTTTGTCCTATGTAAAGGATAAACAAAGACATACATATGATTTAACTATTAGGCAGTTTACCAACAGGCTGGAACAACCAGCCCTAAAACACTCAAATGTAAATATTGTAATCTTATAATTTTAATTATATTAATTTTAAATAGTTTTTTTGTTTGTTATTTAAATCAAAATTGAAATCTCTCTCTCTCTCTCTCTCTCTCTCTCTCTCTCTCTCTCTCTCTCT